ATAGATATAAATATAGATACAGAAATATAGATTACGTCTCATAACAATCTAGTGTTTACGGGTGCACATGTCAGTAAACTAGTATTTATAGCCAATGAAATTGATGTCTAGATGTTTGAGAATAATTTCTAGAATTTGTTTCATAACTCGTCTCATGAAAATTAACACGAATACTCAAAAGTAACAGTACAATGTTACTGCATATAATAAGCACACTGAACGCCTGATCGAGAATTCCAGAGCATTTTTTGATAATAGCTGGTACATAAACACGTTACAAGCACTTTGGATTACACAAATTTTCCAGTTTGCTCTTGAGATGCTAGTACGCTAGTTTTACGCGGTGGACCTGCAGTGCAGAAAAGAAAAAGGAGGCCGGCCGGGCGACGACTTGGAATTGGAAGCCGTCCTCCGCAAAACGTGTATGGATGCGAGCACGGCAATGGGGTGGACTTTATAACCAAGGTCCAAGGGTCTCGATTGGCCATCACAAAGATGTATAATAAATAAGGTTCGTCGTCAGTTAGTCATGTCGTATAAGGTTCTAGTATTCCACTGTGCTTGATGAAAACTAGCAAAATTAAATATTAAGGGCTTGTTTGCTTTAAGCCCTGTCAAGCAGCAATCTCCATCCCTGCAGGCTTACAACATCCAATGCCTGGAAATGTATGGAGAGCCAGGCAAATCTGCCTTAGCTTGATTCAAAGCAAACGGACCCTAAATATTTCACGTGATAAGTTTGATACACCGAAAACAGATAACAAAATCTTTCAGGCAGTTTCAGGGGTGGATTGCATAGCATATAAAAGCAAAAATAAGTGATGAGGAGGAACAGTAGAGACGACTAATGAAACAAGCTTATCACTTGTCGATCACAGAACCACTGCCTCGAGGAGTCGAGAAAGGATAATAAGCCATGAATAGTTAGCAAAAATATAGCAGAAGGAAGTGGCGACGACGACGACCATGACCCCAAGAATGAACTGTATGTCACACCCGATTTTAAGGATAAAATATGATGCAAAATCTTATGTGCGCCCAAAGATCAGTCACACACATAAGCCGACAAATGATAAATAGTATCATCACAAATGTTTATTACACCACGAATATTAAAACAAAGTCTTCACATAAATATAGCAGAAGTATAAAAAAAAATCTCTCGCGAAAGATAACAAAAAGATAACTTCCCACTTAGGCTGTAGCAAAAGGAGGCCACGACGACGATGACTGTGAAATGACCAGCAGTAGTACACGATTGAAGCGCAGAGATTTATCTTATCCTGCGCCCTGCGGTCTCGACGCGTGAAGATGAGAGGAAGGGGCCCAAGACTAAAGACCAAAGACCTGGGTTTATAAAGGTTTATTGTCACACGACGCGTTGATTTATATTATAGTCATATATACTACTTTGTCCGAAATGATACAATTTTTGGTTTTCATTTAGTAAAAAAAATTAAACTTTACTAAGTTTATAAAAGATATTAGTAATATTTATGACTATAAGTATCAAAAAATTAGTGCTTCTTTTATATATTTAATCAAATTTAGAATTGTTTAACTTGAATTGCATTGTTTTATGACAGAGGAAGTACTAGCTAATTGTGAACTATGAACACCCGAATAACACAAAAAACTTTTAGAATCCCTGGTCATAGAGGCAAGGAAAAATCCGAGAAGATGTATGGGTGATATCGTGGAAAGGCAGAGTCTTTTCGCTGTATTTTCGTGCTGTCATCCTTCCAGCTTCTGTGCAAAAATATAGGACGATGATTATCATTTATCAAGTCTCTTTCTTTTGACCTTTTTCTGTCTGTGTTCAGACGCTGTAGGCAGGGTTAGTTTCTCTGACACGGCTTCAACTTCTCTTTTGCAAACAGGAACTTCGCGCTGCATTTCCTATTACACTGGCGGCAACTCCTCGCGCATCTTCGTGACTGCCGTCTCTGACCAGCCTCTGAAAATTGTTTCTCCACAGCTCGGTATATATGCCTGTGTATGGTTGTTCAAATTCCCTCTGCCATCTTGTCTCTCTATGCTGGGGTATGTTTTGGTGGTGGGAACTAGAGTTTGTCTTGCCGGTCTTTTTGTCATAGCAAAATGCTAGTGACGCTTCCTTTTTTAAGGCCCCCAAAACCATTGCTTTTGTTATGCGTTACATATAATATCAGTTCTATTTTTTAAAACTATCAGTTCTGTTCAAACTTAAAAGGCGTGTCACGATCCATTCCCAGGGATGCTTGTCTCTGTATCTGTGACGCTGGTTGCAGAAGTTGTAGCACGCAGAATTAGAATCCAGGTAGACGCTGGTTGTCAGATGATGAATCCTAGATAGTGTCATTCAGATTAGGGTATCAGAAATAGATAAAGAATTACATGAATGATGGCCAAAGTATGGTGCTGCTTTTGTAGATGAAGATCTCCCGTCGGATCTGCTACTGAGTACTGACACATTGGAGCATTTCATATTTCGTATATGCACTGCAAGTCAGAGAGTTTCAAGAGAGACTTGAGTGCCTCTCGTGTTAGTTTCTGCCAATTTTGGAGTTCCTTTTTCTACAGCTCAGATGATGTTCAGTTTCTACCGTGCATGCAGTATGTCTCTACGCTTGAATGAATGTCACTACTTTCAGTTCAATCCCCAGTTCTGAACTCTACATGAAATCATTTGAGAAACATTGAACTTGAAGCAGGAATATGCAATAAATCAATTCTTTTACTTTTTTTTTTTCATTTCTCTATAGACAGTTTGGAGATACTATAGCATTACAATTTTTTAAGGGTGATAAATGCTTTGCCGCAACATTAATACAACCTGGGGTGTTAAACCCCAACACCACCACGCATTACAACTTCCTCACTGACACGATTAATACAGCTAAGCACAAGAGCTCCTCCAAACTACTTAGTTCCATAACGCAGTACAATGTGGTACGGTTTATGGTACATGCCAATCTCACCAAATGAGTACATCACGCATATGAAGTTAACACTATACATATAGTACCACATATTAATACAGATTAAAAATTGAATACAATTCAGTCTCCATATACAAAGGACAAAATATCATCAATCTTTTGCTCAAGCATGAGCCTTGCCCTTTGCAGCCCTTATTTTCCTAGATGAAGACATTATAGCCATCCACTTCACAAGAGCAGCCAATTTTATCCACCTGGGGAAGGAGAGCAGCTTCACCATGAAGCAGCGAACATCAGCTGGCATGTCGCTCAAATTGGCAGTGGAAACGTGAGAGATCTTATTGATGAGCAGTTCTTCGTGTGGCTCATCTGGCTCCAACATCTTCATTATCTCGTGGAGGTCACTCTCGCTGAAGCTATGTTGCAATCAGAAACAAGGACAATCAGCTGGAACGGTTAGAGAGGGAGGAAATGGGCACTGAGAAGGTCCCCCCTGCTCTGTACAGCAAACTGGATAATCTGCAAAAGGGACACTATTTAGTGTACTGCTTTCCACTTTTTTCTTTAGTGAAAAAAAAGAATGATAGCATGCAATTAATTGAGTAGGGCTATTGGTCCTATTTCATTTGCTGCACTAGCTGGTTCGAGTGTCACTGAACCTGTAATACAATTTAGGTCTGAAGTTTCATGCTGGATTTCATCATCAGAATCCAGCTGCCCGGCAATGCCAAAAGATGCACCCTGTGAAAGTGTGTATCAGTCAGTGATTTCAGAGAGATGGATCCAATAGGAGCAACCAGAAATTTAGATCCTAAAAAGAGTGCATATTGATTGTATTAAATGTTTCAAATAATGCTTAAAAAAGGAAATCAGAATGATTGCAAAGCATTTGTTGGTTTCTAAATGCATTTAAAATATAAATAAAAGAACTATCAAACATTTGTTTATTCTGAATTGTGGCCATGTATATTTCAGTCCAGGTATAAGAAATTTTCTACGATTTAATGCAGTATAAAATAATAGGGATATTACTTACAGTTTCATTGTTTTCTTGTGCACAAGGTAACGCCCTTACTCTCCTGGACCCAATCCTCTGGAGTGGAAACTGCTGGGAGCATACACCTGAAGTATCTTGTTCATCAGTTTCATGAATAATTTGACCTGGAAGGACAATAGAGATCCCTACTTTACAATAAATCAATAAGCCATCTCCGCACAAATAAAAAATATAGAGTGTAATAGATCTTGACCAGTTGGCTTAGTTGGTGACATGATTGATCCCGGGAGAGTAGTGGAGTTAATTGCTCTTGGTTGTCTATTATACATTTCATAATCATGTTGATGATAGTCCATACATTCATATGCATCCTTACTCCACTTTTTCACTTGGTCCTGAAATGGTATAAACAAAGATATTAACACATTTCTTTCAAAGTTTCCAATATTGTTTTCTTCACATATAGATAAAGCAAAATTTCTTATCCCCAACTTCCCATTTCTTTTGGTAGTTGATATAGCTGTGAGCATCAGAAAAATACCTTCCAAATTGTATCAAGATCATCATAAACATGATACTGGTCAGCTATTGTTGCTCCTACAATCTGACCCACACAAGTGAAGTACAGCCTAATTTTCTTGTCTTCAATAAAGTGAGAGTAAAGGGCTGTGCCAGGATCACACTTCTTAGCATGATTAACCATCTTTTTCCAGAATGCATCTGAGGCACTGCTGAGAATCTAGAAGCAAGAAGGTGACAATGATCATCAAGAATTCAAGATCTGACCAAGAAAAAAGATACAAACATAATTTTACTCTTACATTGTGCAGTGTTTTCTCATCCATACAATACAGCCTCAGGAAGTGCTTCACCAAAGTAATGCCTCTCTGTTCCAATGACTTACGGAAGGGACCCGTTTTTTGCAATCTTGTCCAGGCGCCATATTTCATCATCCAGTGTTGGAATATCACATTTTTTGTATCCTACAGATATAAGAAATGTTTAAACTAATCAGTAAATGTTTTGACTTCCAATAGCACAAAACTGAAGGTAAAATAGTCCAAACTCAATTTCAGGATTACCTTCCCCTCGGCGGTCCTTCACTGTGAAAGGTTCAGTTATAGCTTCTTGAACTCTTTCACCATGATTATCAATAAGCATTACCCCAAGCCTAAACTTGCCACTCCTTGTGAACTTGGAGTTATCAACAAAAATAATGTTTTCGAGGTAGGCCTCACCATTTTTCAGTTTCAATTTCAGCTTCCCTGTAAGCACCGCCCCAATTTTGTCCCGTGGGATCATTATACGGTGTTCAAACTCCTCGGATGTCCAGCACTCACGATTGTCCGCATTGAAGTCACCATCCAGAACCAAAACCTTGACATTGGCCGACAGAAGCTGGGGAAAGTTGCTACCTTGCTGATTGCTTACAGCCAATTTTATCATGAGGTGACCCCCACCCGCTGCCCGGACCTCCCTCTTTGTAAAATTTTTGTCGCTCATGGAATTCACGAAGGTGAGTTTGTAGGTTGGAGGCAGGTTCTGTTCAATTCTCTCTCTGCGTAGACATTGCAAGTGAGATGCAGAAGCAGATCATGAATGTAACCATGCAGGCTGCAAAAACTTGGAACGCAAAACTTACTGTGGATTAGGAGAAAGGTTCCAGGGGCTTGTAAGTACTTGTGCCACCTCTTCCATAAACTATTAAAGGAAGGAGGAACAGGAAAAAAAGAAGGGGGTCAGTATTGCTGACACAGTTATGTTCATTATCTATATTAATATAGATATGTGAATACTGATTTACTTTACAATGCAATAGAAAGATGGATGATACCAAATGAAATGAAACAAAGATGGCTGTCAATTAGTGGGGGCATTATTATCATCATCAGTATTCGACCGACAACTTGAGACCCTGTCCCCAATCCTTTGACATTTTGGATGATTGACATGCTAAATTACAAAACACAACATGAACAAACATTCTACTGTGACATAAAAGAAAAACTCAATAAATAAACCTATATATATCAGTTTTTTTTTTTACATTACCCGGCTAATAGCAGCGTTGATTCTTGTCTTGACCGCTTGCACACAGGCACAGCCAGTGGGGAGCCCCTGTCCCTGGTGATGGCTGCAACTGCAACTACAGCCCCTAATCCCACTGCAAATTACATTTCCGGCACTCCGGCAGCAGCGAATTAGCTTTTCATTTGGGGGACCAAACGCGGGGAAAAGAACAAATACTGCAAGTGTTTGTGTCAAGATCGAAGCATGAAAGTCAACGATACTCACAGGTCGGACGGCAAGCGGTACAGCCGCTTCAGCGCCTGCGCGGAGGAGGAAGCGGCCGGCTGCGGCGGTGAGCCTCCTTCGCTGCCCGGTACGCTGCCTTCCTCTCTGTCATCGTCGCCGTCGCGGCCTCCGTCTCCGCCCTCCCACCCCCGCTTCTGTCGCTTGCGCGGCATATCAGACGAAACAATCTACTGCTTCGGCGCCGGCGCTACGCCCCTCACCTCTACGCGTCGGCTCTCGCTTGCGGTGGGCCGGTGACTGGGGCGGACACTGCCCACTGCCCACGTACTTATGCCGTTATGCGCGTGCTGAGAGGAGTGTAAATTGCAGCGCTTTTCGTGTCTACTGCTCCCAGCGTTTTTCTGTCAAAGCAAATCAGCATAAGTATCAGCATAAGCTAAAAAGTTTATACACTCGTTTAGTTCGGCAGTGGTAGGACTCTCCGTCCTGCACTCGTGTAGATAAATTAGATTAGAACTCAGCCACCTTTGTCGAGAGACAAGTTCTCTCTGTTACCAAATTATTTTGATATTTTGGTTACATACATTTTATAATATATTTAGGTCATATTTGGACACACATACACATAGTTAATCACTAGTTGAGGTTAAAAATATTGTACAGTAGTTGGCTGCAATTTCACTACATCTAGATAGATAGCTAAAACAATGTATATAGAAAAAGTCAAAACGTCTTATAATTTATAACGGAAATAACAAAGGAATTTACTATATTTCAGGTGCCTAAAATATAGTCTTTTTTTTCCAGGCGACAACCATAGAACAACACAAAATACATCATAGAATATTACATGTACATTACGCGAACATCACCTGACGTCGCATGAACAACAAACACAAATTCAGGCGGCTGTCGTATGTACGTGAACATCGCAAAATGCATCATAGAACATCACATATAAACTACGTGAACATCACAAAATTCATCATAAAACATCGCCTGAACAACAAACACAAAAATTTCAGGCGATTGAAGTATATGAAAACTGGATAACAAATGCAAACATATACGATGAAGCTGTTTCGTTGTCTTAAGACAAACTAAAAATCGTCGCAATGTAACTTCATTGCCATAGTATTTAGGATCAACTAATAACCGTCACAAACGTTCAAGCAAAGAGAAAAAACATATGAGGACGAGACAAGATGGCAAGGACGCAGAGCTAGCGCACGCCGGACAAATTTGGCGCGCGTAATCCACGCGGCTCTAACGCGAAGGCGACGAGTAGCATGGCGGCGGCCCACAGCCCACTGGACTGAACTGATCTCGGTGCGTGCTTCGTACGTGTCCAGTTGCCATGGGATGGCGCGCCTCGAGAGTCGAGGCAACATTCTGCTTTTGCTGGTGTTTGGTCATGGTCAGGAAATTGCGTGTGCTTCCAGGTAAAAGAAAAAGAAAGTTATAATTCTACGTACTCGACCGTCCTAGAGAAAGTGTCGTTCTCATATCTGTCAAGAAGTTAAATGAATATTATCAACTTCGATTAAAAACGTATCATCAGAAAATATATTTTCATAGTGACAGAGTCATAAATATTCCCATGCAGCTTCGCGATAGATGCTTCATCTGCCTCTCCTACTCACACCAAGTAGCGACTTGCCGGTTGCCACGGCGTTGCCTGCGCTGTCACAGATCCAGCCACCTCGCCAGGGACCGCAAGCGGTCCAAGTCGGCACCGATAGGGTGGCCTACCTCGCCGCTCAGCTCGCGCCGACAATCCATTGGCCACCCAGCACGCATCCCTCGACAGTCCACCGACCTCGAAGGGGACCGTGCAGGGTGCCACGGGGTGCGCCGGCGGCATCCGTCCAAGCCGAAGACGACGGCGGCGATGCTAGGGTGAGACGGCACCGGACATCAACATGGGCGCGCTTGCTGGCAATGCCGACGATGCCACTGCCTCGACCGCCGCACACTGTTTCCTTTAGCCAGATCAGCTAGCGGAGGCGCTATGCGAGGGCGTAGGGCCTCCCGCTTGGGTCGCCTCGGTTGACCCGATGCAGGACGAGCTTGTCACCTCGCTCATCGCGAGCCGACAAGCGGTCACACCAGCGTCTGGGTGCCTACAGGCTACGGCAACCACCTCTCAAGAGGTTCAAGCTTCGTTGGTGGAGACTCATCCTGCGGCGACGACTCCTCGGTGCATGATGAACTCTTCTCCGTTGTCCTCTGTGCAGGGCACGCCTCCACAGATGGGACACCCGTTGTCGTGGGTGCTGAGGCGCCAGATGAGGATGGTGAGGTCTGGCCACCTGGGTTTGAGCCGGGTACTTCCACACAGACGCAGGACGGCCATTCGGACGGCCAAGCCACACCCGACGCTTCTACATTGACGAAGGATGGCCAAGCGGACAGCGACGCAACGCCCACGCCGCGCGAGGCCGCTCGACGCCTCGCACGGTTTACCGAGGAGGTGCAGCTCAAGTGAAGGTCACCCTTAGTCGTCACTCCACCAAGGTAGAAGGCGGCAACCAAAAGGCCCCTGCCAACTAGGAGCAGACGGATTGCCGCTCAACCGCTGACGCACATACCGACCTCCAAGCGTGGCGAGGTACTCCTCATGCAAAGGATGGGCACCCTGTCACAGGTGATACCAACTTCATCCGCGTCCAAGCGAGCATACGACGCCATCTTCATAGGGAACTTGACGTCGAGCCAAGTTGTAGCTCTGGACAAGTTGTTTCCAGCGATCAACAATAGGGCTGGTAGAAGAGTCGCTCGTACACCGATGTGCTCTTCTCGCATGACGGAGTAGGAGTGCGTAGACAATAACTCGGTTGTGTACCATTTATGTAATATCGAAATTTGAATTTGTACACTAGGATGGTCAAGTAGACCTCCTAGGGCGCTCGTCAAAGTGCGTCGTTTGTATGGTTAAACTCTTGTTCTTAATTAGAATGATACACAAATTTTTTGCATATTCAAGAAAAAAATTGAGTCATAAATATTAATAATATTTTTTTATAAACTTAGTCAATCTTAAACAAATTTGATTCAATGTAAACCCGAAATTGTATCTTTTTTGGACAATCTTAGTAATACATTCTATATCAAGTTATATAAGTTTGGTTAAATTTGAAATTGATTGACGTATTAGAAAACGACAATTGCACATGTCAGTAAACTAGGGTTCGGGGAAGGAGGCACGGCACCCCGGGCGGCTATTTAAGAGGCAAGGCGGCTTGCGGCACAAGGCACAGCAAGAGGCGTTGCAGGTGCGGAGTCGGACGGCGGCGACGGAGTCCGTCCCGGATACGGCGCGAGGAGGAAGACGGCTGCTGCCAGGTGGGCCAGGGCAGTCAGCGAGAGGGATGAGTGGAGAACTGCGCGGCGTGTCTAGCTGGGCGGGGGCGCGTGCTGCTGGGCCTTCGGCGAAGCTAGGCCGTGCGGGAGGAGTGGGGCGCGGGAGGGAGGCCGAGCTGGAAGCGGGCCACGCGAATGGAGTGAGCAGGCCACGCGGAGGGAATGAGGCGGGCTGGCGCTGGAACTGGGCCAACAGGCCAAATAGGGAGAGTGGGAAGAAAAATCTTTTCTTTTTCTTTTCTTATTTCCACCCAAATTTTGAATGCAAATTCAAATCATTTTGAAATGTAATTTCAAACCACACAATACAAGAAAACAATATGGAGTAGCATGAATGCACATACATGATTGTAACCCTATATTTGATTTTATTTTTAATAAAATTATTATTTTCCTAAATTCAAATGCCCACAAAAATGCATAATAAATCAAATTCCACTATTTTAAAATATTGCAAATTTTAGGGTGTTACAATTCTACCTCCCTTAAAATGAATCTCATCCTCGAGATTCGGACAATGCTTACTCAAATAACTGCGGGTATGTTTTTCTCAGATCCTCTTCTCTTTCCCAAGTAGCCTCATCTTCAGTATATCGATTCCACTGAACCTTACACATCTTTATAACTCGGCTCCTTGTAACTCTTTCTGCTGTCTCCAAAATCTTTACCAGAAATTCCTTATATATAAGATCTTCCTTAACTGTAAGCTCCTCTAATGGTATCTGCTCCTCAGGTACACGCAAACACTTCTTTAATTGAGACACATGGAACACATCATGTACACCTGACAAACTCTCAGGCAATTCCAACTGATAAGCTACTTCACCACGTCTCTCTAAAATCTTGAAAGGTCCAATATACCTTGGTGCTAACTTTCCTTTCATGTTAAACCTTCTCACACTTCTCATAGGTGACACCTTCAGGTAAACATAATCCCATACTTCAAAAACCAATTCTCTTCTCCGAGTATCAGCATAACTCTTCTGTCGAGATTGTGCTACTCTTAAGTTATCCCTAATCATCCTTACTTGCTCTTCTGTGTCTCTTAAAACATCTGGTCCGAACACTTGAGTTTCTCCCATTTGATTCCAAAACAACGGGGTTCTACACTTTCGTCCATATAAAGCTTCGAAAGGTGCCATATTGAGACTCTTCTAATAACTGTTGTTGTACGAGAACTCTGTATAAGGCAAACTCATGTCCCAACTTGTACCATACTGCAATGCACAAGCTCTCAACATGTCCTCTAAAATTTGATTAATCCTCTCAGTTTGTCCATCTGTCTGAGGATGATATGCTGTACTAAAATTCAATTTTGTTCCCAACAAACTATGTACTTGGTGCAAAAAATGAGACGTAAATTGACTACCTCGATCAGACACAATTTTCTTGGGAACTCCATGTAGACACACTATCCTCTCCATATATAATTGGGCCAACCTCGGTCCATTATAAGTAGTCTTGACCGGTATAAAGTGAGCAACTTTAGTTAACCGATCCACTATTACCCAAATCGAATCATAACCTCTCTGAGTGCGTGGCAACCCAATAGTAAAATCCATACCAACTTCTTCCCACTTCTAGTCAGATATCTTCATTAGTTGTAATAATCCTGCAGGTCTTTGATGTTTAGCCTTGACTCTCTGACATATATCACATAAAGCAACATACTCAGCAACATCTCGCTTTAGTCCGTACCACCAATACTTCTCTTTCAGATCCAAATACATCTTGGTACTTCCGGGATGAATAGAGTAAGCTGATTCATGTGCCTCACGAAGAATTTCATCTCGTAAAGCCTTAATCTTAGGTACACATAATCTTTTCCCAAACCAAAGAGTTCCATTAT